TGTTAGCTTTTGTTTCTAGATGTTCGCGATGCAAATTCCATGAATATACGCTATGCTGCTTGATGCTGGATGGATGGCGTTGAGATCACAACAATTCGTGTTTGGTTGCTTACAATTGCTATTAAAAAAGCTAACGAAAAGTTGTGCGGGTGGAGTGCTGGGCATTGCATGCGCGGGAGAAATTTTTCTTTCTTTGTAATCCATGTGATTTTGGCCGAAAAATAAGCTTCAACTAACACAGAGCAATGGGAGATTTGTTAAGGAACCAAAATCTAAAGGCCGAAAAGATCCAGTGCTAATCAGCGTGCTAGGAAAGAAAGCTTTTACAAAAAGACAGTTGTTTGAAAGCAAGTGAGCAATTGAAAGGCTGTGCAGAGATAGTATGTGGCGTGAACGCTGGGACGAACGTGCGCGGTACTATTTCTTATTTTTATCAGAGTAATCATGGTACTGCAGCAGCGACCTGTTAACAGGCTGTGTCGAAAGTTCTTAGGTCTACAAATAACTTCGCTATGTTAATAGTCGATATTGTTACGGGTATAACATTTTAAAAAATAAATGGGTCACCGAATTATGTCAACTATTGCTATCATGCCGGTTTGCCAGATATTCATTTATCTCGAAGAAAAACTAAAGTGCATACATGTCTCATGTACACATTTCCATAGCGTGTTACGATATATAATTACATGGACTATATTTTTGCATGATATACGTTACAAGTAGGTGAAGAATGGGTGAGCTTTAAAAAAAAAGTCATAGGTCTTATCACCATAAGAATCAGCAGTGCCGTTTCAGCACCTTCAGTGGCCCTGCTGGAGCTTAAGGGGCCACCGCAAGCCAGGAGAAAGTAGCGCGGTATCAGCGGCGACAAAGCGTGAAGAGGGAGGGGAACACCCACACCTTATGGGCTCCTGTCGAAAGAGCGCGCACTTCCCTGGTAGAGGCAGCGACAGCGGTCACGGGCCGGGCTACGCTTATGCCGTCCTGTTGCTTCTGGTGACGCCGTCGCCACCCCGGCCCGCCCCCACCCCACGCCTCCTTCAACCACGCCTTCCAACACCCCCAACCCCGGTCATCCTGCACGTAAACATCCCCCTTTCCCCCCGGCTTCCCCCGCTCGCCCCCACACTCGAGACTGCTGGACATGGCCTGGGGAAAGTACCTCTTGACCGATTCGGTGATGGCGGAGGGAGAGAGTAACATCGCTCTCTCTCCAGTATCACACGTCTGCTTCTTCCTTTGCGTTTCACATTCACGCTCCCCAGAAAACAAGTAAAGTCGAAGAACAAGTATATTACAAGTATAGCAAAGGGAGTATATGCAAAGGGAGGAGCGGGGGGGGGAGCGTGCGGGGGCGACGGGAGGGAGGAAGTAAGCAGGTGGGGTGGAGGAGAAAAGGGAGGGAAGATAGAAGCGGGAGGTGGAGGGAGAAGGGGGGAGGGACGCAGACGAGGTTACGGCGTGAGGGAGGAAGAGAACTGGCGGGAGTATCGGGGGTAGGGGTGAGGAGGTGGGAATTGGAGGGTTCGGGGGATACGGGTCTCGGTCGCACAACAACCCGAGCTTATGTTATGCTGTTGCCAACTCGGGTGACAGGGCGGCGCGGGCTCCCTTGGCCGCCATGTGACGGGTTTATCGGTGTTGTCAATGTTACAGTAATGCCGGATGCCGATTATGACGCACACCACCTCAAGGCAATGTGTAGATTCGCGTCACGGATTTATTAACATAAATTGGAAAAGGAAGTGCACAAGATGCTCCCTGTATGCACTTGGAGCTCTTAATTTCTTCATCTAATTTATATCTGGCATTATGTCCTAGAGGCGTGGTTGAAACACGTGACCAACATTGCAGGTTTTCTGGTTGAGGTTTTGACCGAGTTCTTACACACCGGTTAATGTGTGATTAAAAGATCCAATTATTACAGTTGTTTTTCTCTTGTGATTTATATTTTGGTGTCTCTGCGCTTTGGTGAATTAGAAAACCAAAAAAGAAGAAAAGTAACATAAAAACACCGGGTATTTAAGTCGAAGAAGCAACAAGAAAGGGGAGCGAAAAGAAATGAAACATACCTTTTCAGGTTATAGGTGCTTGATAGAGATTTTACTGCACGTGATCGAGCAGGAATCATGGTTGTGCCATCCTGTATCAGTCGTGTATGCCATGCATGAACTGAATATTTTTCAAGACGTAAAAGCCGTATTATTTATTACGAATGAAAACTGGAAACATTTCGTGGTCCCGTATCTATTTTAAGTATCTATACTATTTTGCAAACGTGGTCATTTGTTTTGGAAAATGTGGGACAAGGTCTCTAACCTGCCCCAAATAAGAGGCCGTTTCGTATTTCTGTTATGATTTCTCCAGATACACGTAGCTCATTAAGATTAATAGATAAACTATTTCTTTTAAGAAGTATTAATCCTAGTAGATATACCCAAAGTTCTAAAAAGTCAGTTAACAATTCCAGACATCTTTTAATATATCTCTTTAACGAACTCGCAGAAAATTAAATCAGTAAATGATTGAACTATTTAATACAGTGGGTTTATTAAATAGCACTTTCATCGAAAGATTTTGCAACCTACAAGGTTTTGATGCCCCAAACTTTGGTAAAGTGGAATTATAGATAAATTGATGAATAGCCTGTTGTGGACTATAGTTATTTTAACCAATACTGAAAAACGATTCGACTTTTGTTCGATTGTATAAAGAAGTAGGTATACATCGCTGGTAGAGTGAATTTTATTGAATAACACACACACACACACACACACACACACACAAACAAACAAACAAACAAACACACACACACACACACAAACACACACATACACATAGATAAATAGATAGATATAGATAAATGCATATATATGTGTGTGTGTGTGTGCGTGTGTGTGTGTATGTGTATGTGTGTGTGTGTAAGTATGGATATTTGTGTTAGTCTATGAATATAATGTAAAATATACAACCCCTTCCTGCGCTCTCTGACATTTCGTGATTATGATCTATGACGTGGGGCTAACCTGGGGATAACTAATCAGGCCGGCTTCTATTTTTTGATAACAACAACAACAACAAAAAACAACGTTATTTACATCTGCAATGAACAAATCAGCTGCAGGTCTTTGATGCTGACATTAAAATGAATATATTTCATTGCTTGTATTGCGTTATTTTATCATACATGAATATATAGCAAAGTTGAATATTTAGAGTATATAATAACTTTCACGTTACTCTTATTCCGTTAAATACTTGTTTAAACTTCTTGCTGCTCTCTGCATTAATATTAGAAATGATAATCTACCCCGCTTTGTTAGGTGATTACGATATAAAGATATGAGGGTTTTTCTTCTTGTGAATGATTCATGATAAAAAGGATCTGTCTCAAAATATTAAGCAGCATGTATGTGTGTATGTGCGAGTGTGTGTCACACACACGCACGCACGCACGCACGCACGCACGCACACACACACACACACACACACACACACACACACACACACACACACACACACACACACACATCCTCCTCCTCCTCATCATTATCATCGCCATCGTCATCACCATCAATTACCATCATCCTCATAACCATCACGATAATCATCATCACCATCCTTTTCCTCATTATCATCCTCATCACCATCAACATCATCAGAATCATCACCATAAGCACTATCATTAGTATCATCACTATCCTCCTTCTTATCATCTTCATCACTATCATCATAATCATTATCAGCATCCTCCTCTTCCTCCTCATCATTATCACTAACATCATCGTCCAAATCATCATCATCATTATCATTATTTTTGCTATGACTACGGATTATAGCCATTTGTAATAAGTAATGGGATTTAATCAGTTAAAGAGTAACCACTAAGCTTGTGCACAACTTGGCATTTTTTCATTGCTGAGATACTACTTTTTCAAAAGTAACTTGTTGCAAAAAAAAATTCTGTCTAAAAATATAATTTTGAAGCATTTTTTTTACCGAAATATGCGTCGTTTGCTAATTTACACATTAAAATACTTTTCGCAGCGCCATCTCTTGGAATTAGTTGCGATGACGTCATGAGTTGTGTTAGTGTCAGTGTTGTGTATTATGGCTATGGCGTGTTCTTCATCATCCAGTGTTGATAGCTTTTCAAGTCTGGACTCTATAAGCATTTCCGATAACAGTGAAGATGTATGGCATGTTTGGCAAGACGGTGTTGTGCTTGGTTACCAATTTGAGCCCGAATATTTTTCTTAAGAGGAGCTCTTGGAGTCCGCGGCATTTCAGTTTTTTTACACCCCTTCTCTCATGTCTCTAACGTTAGTTTAGTAGGGTATTCTGAGGTACTATTGATGAGTCTATACGGCGTCTAGGATCGCCATCGCTCGACATGATGCGAAATGCAGTTTAGCCTACACTGTAAACAAAACGTCCAGTCTATGTACAGGGCATGCAGGGTGCACTGCATGCTTCCAGTGTGACTGGCCATGTTAATTAGATATCAGTGTGTCAGAGTCCTGTTCCTGTAAAATGTCATCATGCCATGCAAGCTATGGCCATGAACATGATTTAATTAATACAGCTGGGGTAGTGATGATTGGCGATTCCTTTGCAGGTTTTCGAAGTCGATCGTACCGAAGAAAATGGGGCCTAGTCCAATAGGCCTGTGATCTGGCTGGCCTGGCCCTAACTGTTAGCAAATTCCTATATTAAAATACATCTTAACTGTGGTTTAAATTTTACAGGTGCAAGTGTGACAGATATGAGTTATGTGAAACTCCAGAGGAAAACATGTGTTGCACAGAAAAGATGCCAATACAGGAAAAAAAATTGATGAGTACAACGACAATTTTGGGGGAAACATTAAGTGCATTACACAGCATACAGGTTTCATATCTAACTGTCTGGACGTCTGGGTTCTGCAGAATGTTTATGATCATTTCAAAGTGCAACATAAACACAGGTTTGAAGGATAAACCAATGAGTGTCTTAAATTAAATAATTGAATATATTTTTACAGATATACTATTGATAACATTTACAACATCTATATATCTACAGATTTGTACATTATTAATAACAATATCACAGAACATCTTTTTTATTTCAAACTGGCTATCACAATAAATCTTTCAAAAATTATATACAGTTAAGTTCATTTTTTTCCACTCTTTATTGCAGGAAATATAGATACACTGCATACCGCCAACTAGTAAGATGGTGCTGGAAAATGTTAGGCAAGAAGAAGCGTTTGCATACAAAATATCACACGAAAATATCACACAAAAGGTTCTCATCCATGCATTCACGGCGATGACAAAGAAAATGAACACAACTCATGACGTCATGGCCGGGTTAGTGGCGCTACTGGTAATATTTGAGTTATAAGCTGTGGCAGACGACGTTTTGGGCCCAGAATTTGTTCATTCAAAAGGCTATAAATATAAAACACGTTTTTTTAATTCATTTTTTTTTTAATCTTATGCATATTTGGAGGTACAAGAACAAATTCTGAGATGAATATCTTACATTTAATTCACATAGTGGTTACTCTTTAAGAGATAATGGTGGGTTGGGATCATGGTCTTCAGTCATGTTCTTATCGACTATGATAAGGAAATCACATCAAAGTACTTTCTGTGCTAGTGAATAAACCATATTTTTCTTTAGGGCGCCTTATCAACTGATAATGACACTAACTATAATAAAGTGATTAATATAATGTCAAATTCTTTAAAAACATGAGTTAAGTTTTAACAGAAAATATAGAGAGAATATAAACGTGCAACAATATAACAATGACAAAGATTTTACACTTGCACTCGAAGCTCACAGCGTAATGTAGAAAATTATACATCTTATAGTAATATTACGAGATTAAGTCATTATATAGATGGCGCATGATTTCTAATTCCAAGTATGTAAAATGCATTATCGTGTAGTTTACGATTTATCTGTTACATTTCTGGCTTCCGTTAGGTCACAGGAACACAGAAATATGCATTTGCCTACTCCGCTACTGTTGTTATTTTATTTCCAAGTGTATATCAGTACTATCCAAACGAATTAACCCCTTTTTGCATAATTTGCAGAAAGCTTCTGGTAAATTACACCGTATTTAAAGACAACATTGTTTTTTTTTCTTCCAATTTCTTATTATTTTTTAATATTAAGCATTCTTTATTATATACCTCGGATTTACGAGGGTTAGGGTTAACTTATCTATAACCTTATCTAAACTTGCACACATGAAAGTCATGAATGTTACTTTAAAATTAACACAATCCCTTATAATCTGGGCCGACCGATACACACCATCACATTAGACCAATACCGAAGGAAATGCATATTTTCTCTAGCCTAATCACTGTTATCAACGATTACTGATAACAGATAAAAAGTTATCTATGAACTGTTGCTAGACCGAATGCGTCGTCGTGGAACTAAAAAAGGTTTCTTAGACTCTGCTTCATCCTTTGATAGGAATATATCTGCTTCATCCTTTGGTAGGAATGTATCTACTTCATCCTTTGAGTCGGCACTTAGGCTATGCCGGTAAGTTCTTGAACGCCTTTCATCGACCATCTGAATTTCGCTGACGAAGACTGGGTTGCTGAAGGGGTCTCCGTTTTCTACGACCGCTTTGCTGTCACCCGGAAAAGACGCGCCTCGTTTTCTTCCGACGATGTTTGTGTCAGGGAGAAAGGGTACATCTCCGTCTTCGCTTAGTGTGCTATCCCTTTTAGGCCTCGAACTGCCAGGCCTACCGGATACTGACGATTCGATACGAAACATCTTCATGAGGAGTTCACGTGGCTGGTTGAACAGGAGCTGGACGATGTTTAGGAAGACCGAGAACGTAAACAATATCACAAACATCTGGCAGTTTTCGAAGTTCTTCCCGCTCTGGATGATCACACACGTAGATACTGAGTCTCGCTCATTTGATTTTTCTGTCACTGAGTGGACAGAAGAATGACTTGAGGCTATATCCCTAAGGGGTGGCTGAGAGCAAGGGGTCTCGTGTACAGCAGGAGAGCAAGATTCGTGGACAATTTTCATGGAGCCT